AACGTATGAAAAATCAAATGTGGAAAGAAAGAAAGAAAGAAGGAAGAAAGCACGGAAAGACATAAAATGGAAGAAAGAAAGAAATAATGAAAGAAAGGAAGAAAGAAATACTAGTAGAAATATCTTATAAAAGGAGCAAGTAATTGAAAAAAATAAACGAATGAAAAATCAAATGTGGAAAGAAAGAAAGAAAGAAAGAAGGAAGAAAGCATGGAAAGACATAAAATGGAAGAAAGAAAGAAATAATGAAAGAAAGGAAAAAAGAAATACTAGTACAAATATCTTATAGAAGGAGCAAGTAATTGAAAAAAATAAACGAATGAAAAAATCAAATGTGGAAAGAAAGAAAATCAGAAGGAAGAAAGCAAATTAGACATAAAATGGAAGAAAGAAAGAAATAATGAAAGAAAGGAAAAAAGAAATACTAGTAGAAATATCTTATAAAATGAGCAAGTAATTGAAAAAAATAAATGAATGAAAAATCAAATGTGGAAAAAAGGAAAGAACGAAGAAAGCAAAGGAAAGAAAGAAAGAATGAATGAAAGGTAGGAAAAGGGAAGAAAGAAAGTATAAAATTAGAAAAATAAATAAAGAAGAAATTAATGACAGAATTGAAAATCAAGATGAGACGTAACGGAAACTAACGTCCATAACTGATGACTTATGGAACAGACACGTGTGAATTGCATTTCCATTCATTACAATTCTCTGTCTTCGGATTATCTTCCAACATCGGCTTTTCATTTAAATCCATCTTTGGCATGAAAATAGGAATGGAGACTTTGGTTCTTCAATTCTGCCAACAAACTTTCTCCGACTTCCTTTCCCCCTTTACTCATCGCTCTTTTCAAATCGAAGAAAAAAAGAATGAATGCAAATTTGTCTTAGTTGCTCCATCGGGACAAAAGCCGATGCTGAGAATATGGCAGACATGATGGAAGAGTCTGTTCCCCTTCATCAAATAAGTGATTTGTCTTGGAGATTTCTTTTTTGGAGTTTTCTTTTTGGAATTTTATTAAAAATAATATTTCTTTTGTCGTATTTTTTGCCTCATTAACCTCTCAATTGATGAAGGGCATACAAGAAAATAATTCTTTTGCTAGTCTTAAACTGTTTCTTTTCTCTAACATCTACGTTCTTATTAATCGCTAAAATAACGTCCAGAATCAATTTTTATCCAATATCATATATATATATATATATATATATATAAAGACATTTTTCATGTATATACATTCTTTTTATAGATACAAATATTTAAGTAAATGCTCTGTTTATAATAAACAGTGTTAACAACATTTACTGGCCTGAATATCCAAGAAATTTTCAGAGAAAATATGTGTCCTTGGACAGGAATCGAACCTGTATCCTATACGGAACCCTCATATAGCCTGACGTGCTTTTACCGATTGAGCTACAGAGGAGCGTTTCGGTTAGCAATTTCGGTTTTACTGTTTTTAAACTACAATTCTCCATGATTTTCTCTTATACATTCATATCTGCTCAATGTGCTCCTCTGTGGCTCAATCAGTAAAAGCACGCCAGGCTGATAAATACACATCAAGTTAACTGAAATGGGGAGGCATTTAGACCTTACATAATGTCATTTAGTATGCTTGAAGAATATTTTTTTAATAATGTTAAAATTCATCAATAAAATATTTTTTTTCTAAATTAAAATAGGTCGGATCAATAAATGAAAAATCCATTTGTAAAATATATAAGCACACACACACACGCATATATATATATATATATATATATATATATATATATATATATATATATATATATTCAAACATTGTTAAATATAACAGAAAATGAATGTATATTATGTCTGATAATAAGCCTTTCTAAAACTTCCGATAGCTGCTTTAATTTTGGGTGAAAATTAAGAACAAAAATTGTCAAACATTTGATATTTTTAAGCTGTTCCTTCATCTAAGATTTCGACTCATATGAGGCATCTTCAGAGTGGTAAAATCCAGAGAATGGTCTGCAATACAATCGATCCTGGCCAGGCATCTCGTCATCAGACACTTTCTCCTCGACTTTTTCTAGCTTCCCTTTGTCTTTTTTACAAATATTTTCAAGGCCGCTGCCCTGACTAGCTTTTTTTTCATGGTGTCCCGACTACATAGATTTAAGCATACTACCAGATTGGCGTCAAGGTTCCACCTGTTTACGCACGATATTTTGAAAATTATACAGACTGAGCCACACGCTCGAATGCCTCTCTCTCTCTCTCTCTCTCTCTCTCTCTCTCTCTCTCTCTCTCTGTGTGTGTGTGTGTGTGTGTTATACGCAGGCCTATTTGGAGTTTTTTTTCTGTTCATTATTCTACAAAAAGCATATTTTCTCAATGTTGTAACCTAGGAAGGATTAGTGAATGAAGAATAACCAAAATGGAGGTGGGAAATGAAAATGGTAATCTTCATAACATCAACAGAATACAATACTCGCCAGCGGCATGAAGTAGGTAAACCACTGCTAGTGCTGGACTACGTAGGCACCATATTACTCCCCCCACCACTTACAATAGTGTCTAATGTATTTATGAGGATTGGGACATGCCATTAGTGTTTATGGGAACGGTATATAACAAAAATAATATTTTTTAATTAGAAAATAAAATATGTTTGGATATATTATAGTACCTATTCTATTGTAATGGACTCTCCCACAAATAATAAGTAGTAGTAGCAGTGGCAAGTGGGGCTCAGTGGTGTTGAACGCGTCAGACGATATCGGACATTGAAGTACCAACCATCACAACTAGATTGCTGCGTCATTAACTCTTATTTTTCAAGTTGCTAACGTTTTGTACGTCGAACCTAATTTAGGACGACTTATTAAAATACAAGCCTCCACTGTGAAAACTACTCTACAACAGGATAAATCAGGAAAAAGTTGTAAGGAAAGATCTACTTTTAGATATAATATTTTCTTTTAAATTTAAGAACTCTCTCTTTTTTTATATATATATATATATATATATATATATATATATATATATATATCCTTCATTCCTTATTCTCATAATCCCTCTTCATATACCGTATACACATAACTGTATGAAAGAATAGCTGTTTACTGTTGAAATACTTATACGTAACAACGACTTCTAAAGCATCAGTTTCTTTTCTCATACCGTCCCCCTTTTATTTGCTTCCCTGATAATCTTCAAAAATGTAAATGCAACGTCAATCGCCATCTTCTGCCCTTCCATTAATCTTCTCCATACTCAGTCTTTTCTCTCATAATATTTTCCTGCCCACTAGTGGCATTTCCGCTTTGTTTGGGATGAAATTATTAAAAAAACTCTTTATCTTCCTGACAAATCTACAATAGTGTCATTCGATATTACCAGAATCTATCTTGTAAATTTATAAGTCTTCCATTCGTCGGTGCATTGAATATTGTTGCCATATCTTTTCTGGTTCTTCTTCTACGTATCTAAATATTCTTGACAAAGTCCAAAAGAATCTGTAATGTTATTTGTCCTGACATGGCATTTCGGCTTAAATCACATCCCCATTGCCATAACGTACCTTTCCTACTTCTTTTCTGCAACTATTTTCATAGCAATTGTTTTTAATGTGTATTCTGTGTATCGATTTCACGAATTTAATCGTATTGAGAAATATCTAGCTACATGGTCAATCGCCATTCTTTCAGATGCACCTGGGTACGTTCGGTGTTGAAAGAAACTGGCACAAAACTAAAAATAAAATCAAAAACTTTACGACGTCCTTTTGATGATATCAGGGTAAGGATTTATATATATATATATATATATCAGGGAATAAATCGATTGTGTAAGCGTTTGCTTGTATTGATTAATATCAACTCTCAATTGCAGTATTTACATTAGTCGGACTATTGTCCTCATCTTTGTCGCCATATTTGTCACAACGTTTCGGCCGTTGTACGCTCCGGCCTTCTTCAGGTGGTTGGAATTTCGAACTGAACCCTTTATTACGATCACTGGGGTAGACTGTTCTAATTCCACATGCCATGTTTGATGGATGTCAGTTATCAGTTATCTCCTGCTAATTTTCCCTCTGAAAGTTCTCCACTGCCTTAACCAGATATTGAACTCACCTTCTTTGGGTCTGTCACTGGATCTAACCAACGCCTTTATCCACTGTGCCATGTGTCCTTGAGGACAATAGTCCGACTAATGTAAATACTGTACATAATACCTCATCTCAGAAATATAGACAAACTCTCAATTGGTTCTTTTTTTTTTTTACATTATCACTAATTATTTGTTTTGTCTGTCCAGTGTACCAAATTCATCTATTATTCCATTTGAGAATAGGGCATAATAATCCAGAACAGCCACTTCAACTATCAAAATTATTACGCAATTTATTATTATTATTATTATTATTATTATTATTGATTGACAGAACAACACGCCAACTAATTGACGCCGAGTACAAATATTCGAAGCCAATATACCCATCATGACACACAGGCTGATGGATTCATGATTTGATTTGAGTTATTCGATTTTTACGGCTTATCAACCCTTTGTAGGTTATTTAATGCCAGAAGATATTTTTAGATTGGATGTGTTTTTATTTCCGATAATAATGGTTTAGTGATGCAAGTTTCACTAATTAGCTCGTAACTTGGAGGAGAAGTAGATTCATGCCTTTCCCCAGGATATTTGAGCCTAACTGAATATAACGAACCCAATTGGAATTGGAACCCGGTGTTTACGTTATATGAAGAGATATGATGTGAACAAAAAGGAAGGATGAATAGCCAGTTGCTCTCTATCTTAGTGTCAAGAGCAGATTAAAAGAAACTGGATTCTTTCTAATAACATTTAAGCAGTAATCAGTAATCAGGATTTGGTTAATTAAAGCTTTCACCATCAAACACAGAATCGCATTGGGAAAACCGGTTATATCGTTCTCTTGGTTAATTGCAATTTAACCCTTCTTTATTTTCTCAATAACCTTCTTTTTGTTCTGAATCCCTTCAGAATTTTGGGGATCATGGCTCTCCACAGGTTCCTGTTCTTTGTAGCTTGTACAGTCAGTTTACTCATGCGCTCTAGGGAAATCATGAGTTGTTTTCCTCTGTTCCATTTGCCATTCATCATCTTTTACACCAATACAAGCCATTAGGTTGAAATAAGCATAAGCCATTATCCAAAGTAAATTTCCTGAAAAACAAAAATTTCATATCAGAAATATACCACCCAAATAGTTTAGATATACACATCAAAATATTGTCCGGATATGCGGGATTCCAGATATGTGGGTTTCCGGATATGAGGCATTTCGGATATGAGGGATTTTTTGATAATGAAAATTCTGAAAACAGGGATTCGGATATGAGGCACTCCGGATAGGTAGAATTCCAGATATGAGGGATTCCAGATATTCCAGATTTCGGATACAGAGGGATTCCGGATATGAGGATTCTAAATATGCGGGTTTCAGATTTGATCCATTCCGGTTATATGTTCCCATTTTGGATATGAGGCATTCCGGATATAAGACATTGCGTATGAAGGATTCCGGATATGAGACATTCTGGATATGATGAATTCCTTTTGATGATTAACTCAATGTGAGGATTCTGTTTTTTTTTTGTACTCTTTGATCAATTCCTGGATATCATTGATTCGTTATGAGGCAATCCGGATATGAGGCAATCCGGATATGAGGGCATTCTTTTTTTTTTTTCTTCCGGATATGAGGCATCACGGATATGAGGGATTCCTAAATTATGAGGGATTCCGGATATGAGGGATTCCGGATATGAGGATTCAACGATATGAGGTAATTTAGATATGAAATTTCTTATTTCACTGTATTTTCATAATTTTGACGGTAATTCTAGACGTTTCTGATATTGTCATATAAAACGCAAGATGGACATGAAGCATTTCTGGCGAAAACCCACCTTTTCAGTTTGTCCAAATGGATGACAAAATAGAGAGTAAGAATTTAATAAAAGGACTAACATTTTAAGAGTTACAATTCTTTCATATGTTTTTAATCTTTTCCCAATTTCATAAAAATGAATTTCTTCTGTCTTTTACGCATTGACTACATCTTGACAACTTTAATTAATTTTTATTCAGTTAAAAAGTAACTTCCAAACGTTCTTTACTTTGTAAGTGAGGGTTTTCATTGAATCATTTTTGCTTTACGGATATCGTTGTGAACTTAGTTTAGTTTGCCACAAGGCCATAAATCAAGGGCATCCTGTGAGGGACGAACTCACTGATCTGTAGCTATGTGTGAAATATAACAAGTGTAACAAGTGATTTATACCTCGGCACCCTCCATCGAAGATGTGCTGAAAGTTTCTCTTTATTGCAAGTCATATCGCGTACTGTTGGTCAAAACAACATTTATTTTGATCTGGATGGAAGAAGGAAACATCTGTTTATCGAGCTTCTCGCTCAGGTTTAGTCGGCTGACATCATCGCCTTGGCGAGGAGTGTCCTTTGAATTTAACAGCGGGTAGTCACGTCGACACTTCGCTTTGATGGTGAAAACAAGTTCCGAAGAAAATCTTAAAACGTTGTTCGTTTCATCAAAGAGAAAATAATGCCAATGGTTAAAACAGGTGCTGAAAACATTTCAAGGGACATGCATCAAAAGCCAGGACCCGACCCTTTAAAAATGACCTTCCTCGTATAAACAGAATTAACACATCCCACCTCCAAAAAAAAAAATTTCTTAAAAAATTTTGTCGAATATAAATTAACTTCTTCTTCTTCTTCTTCTTCTTCTTCTTCTTCTTCTTCTTCTTCTTCTTCTATGTGCTGTGTCCCTATATGATGTAGGCGATCATGGCCCTCCACAATGTCCCGTCCTTCGTAGCTCTTAAAAAAAAAAATGTCTTTGTTATTTCGATAAACATTTTCCTCTATCCATTTAATTAAGTTAAAACTTTTTTTATATGTGCCATTTTGAGAGGGACGTATGATCCTGGCCTCCACAATTTCCTTTCGTTCGTAGCTTTAATAAATTTTGTCTATTTGTTATTACTCCATAAACCTTGTCACCATATCCATTTACTCAAAGTAATTCTTCTTTTATGAAGCCGTATCCCTTCAGGACGTTGGCGATCATTGCTCTCCACAATTTCCTGTCCTTTGTAGCTCTTAATAAATTTTGCCTTTTTGTTATCTCTCGTAAACCTTATTCCGTCATTCATTTGTTCAAGGTAATTCTTCTGCTTCTATGTGCCTTCACCCTTCAGGACATTGAGAATCATGGCTCTCCACAATTTCCTGTCTTTCGTAGCTTTTAATAAATTTTGTCTTTTTGTTATTTGTCCTAACTTTTTTTTTTCGCCATTCATTTACTTATGCACTTATATATTGAAATATGTCGGGTAAAACTGATACCCTCGCAAATCACAACTGAAAAAGACCCTGCCTGTGACATTCCTTGTTCTCTTAGAAATGCTACAAAGAAAGGGCATTAGTAAATACTGAGGAGAGTCCTAGAGAACTGGGGAGACAAGCAGTCAATTAATCTCATTGCTGAGTATAAATAATAATAAAGCCTGAGTTTGGATTCTTCTTCTATGTGCGATGCTCTCTTAGGATGTTGGTGATCATGGCTCTCCACAATTTCCTATCCTTTGTAGCTCTTAATAAATTCTGTCTTTTTGTTATCTCTCTTAAACATTATTCCACCATCCATTTACTCAAACTCATTCCTCTTCTTTCTATGTGACGTGTACCTTCAAGACGTTGGAGATCATGGCTCTCCACAATTTCCTATCCTTTGTAGCTCTTAATAAATTCTGTCTTTTTGTTATCTCTCTTAAACATTATTCCACCATCCATTTACTCAAACTCATTCTTCTTCTTTCTGTGTGACGTGTCCCTTCAGGATGTTGATGATCATGGCTCTCCACAATTTCCAGTCCTTTGTTAGCTCTTAATAATTTTTTTTTATTCCTCAATAAACCTTGTTCCGACATCTATTTACTCAAACACATTCTTCTGTGCCGTGTCCCTTCAGCACGTAGGTGATCATGGCTCTCTACATCTTCCTGGACTTTATAGCTCTTAATAAATGATGTCTTTTTGTATCTCTCATAGACCCATACCGCCATCCATTTACTCAAGCTAATTTTTGTTTCTATGTGCCCTGTCCTTTCAGGACGTTGGCGATCATGGCTCTCCACAATTTCCTGTCTTTTATAGCTCTTAATAAATTTTGTCTTTTCCTTATTTCTCCTAAACATTATTCGACCATCCATTTGCTCAAACTTATTCTTCTTCTTCTATGTGCCCTGCTCCCCCAGGACGTAGGCGATTATGGCTCTCCACAATTTCCAGTCCTTTGTAGCTCTTAATAAATATTGTCTTTTTTGTTATTTCTCCATAAACCTTGTTCCGCTTTCCATTTATTAAAACTCATTTTTCTTCTTTCGACATGCCGTGTCCCTTCAGGACGTTGGCGATCATGGCTCTCAACACTTCCTGTGGATTTTAACTTCATAAATGTTGTCTTTTTGTCAACTGGAATAAAGATTTTTCTTCTTTATATATCGTCTCATCTCAGTGCGTAGGCAATCGTGGCTCTCCACACTTTCCTGTACTTCGAATCTGTTAATATTTTTTTTAAACTTTTTTGCTTTTTCTCATAAACCTTTATCCATTTACTCAAGGTCAACAAGTAGGTTATGTTTTCTTTTTCTCTGTTCTTTTCCCTTCAATCTGCCTTGTGTGTATCTTATTTTCTAATCCCTCTTTACACAATATAGGCCCGAGAAATTTCAACGGTTTCTTCTCGATTTTAATTATAAGTTACCTCTTTGCTTTACTTTTCTCTAAAACTTTGTCTCTGATCGCATGTTCGGTCCATGTTATCCTCAGCATTCACCTGCAGAACCACATTTCTTACTCCTCAAGACTCCTTTTCATCGTTGAGAAGATTGTCTAGCATTCACTGCGATACAGAAGTACCTATATTATGCAACAGTTTAGTACTCATTTGTACGTTTCTAACGACATTTTCCTGTTTCTTAATACTTTACTTAGTTTTTTGGAAGGCATAGCATTTAACAAACACTTTATGAAGAAATGGTACATGTTGCCTTCCTTTGGAATTAATAAATTCGAAATGGGATGAATCTAAGTTTTTTTTTTAGCTTCACGGGCTATAGATCAAACACTAAGGCAAACTTGTATATGTAGACAATGTTGGGTAACTGGTAAAAATTCAATCCCTTGAAACCTCGTCATGGACCATCGTAAAACCTATTGTTCAGTCAATGTTGGGAAAAGCGCGAAGCATCTTGAATCGAACCTAGCCCTAAACATTCAACTTGTCCTCTGTAAGCCTTCTGCCAGATCCTCGAAGGCATATCATACAAGATGGTCTAGAGATGATCAAACTTCCTAAGGCACCTAGAATGTATGAACTCAGTGTTCTTCATTAGGAACAAAACATCTCTTGAAAGAGATAGCGAACATTTAGTTATCCTAAAGCTGGAAAATCAGTGCGTTTTTTTCCAATAAAACACAACACACACACATACATATATATATATATATATATATATATATATATATATATATATATATATATATATACATATATATATATATATATATATATATATATATATATATATATATATTATATATATATATATGTATTTATGGGGGGAATATTTGCTTTAAATGAAAAAAATTCAAAATAAAAAAAAAATAGCAAATATAAAACCACATTTTATTGTATAAAGAAACATACTATTAAAAAATAATAAACGTAATTAATTTTTATTCTAACAGAAATTAATGTAGAAATTAATGTTCTGAGATTTGCTTTATTTAAGGTTTTACATTTATAAAAAATAAGCTGCATTTCAAATGTAATCCATATTTATCCCCTTTATTCTCCATATCTATCTTTCTATCTAGATAGATAGATAGATAGATAGATAGATAGATAGGCGAATAATAGATAGATAGATAGATTTGAAGAATTTGAGTATGCATATAAACCCATATTAAGATTAATTCGCAATATATATATATATATATATATATATGTATGTATATATATATATATATATGCATGCATGTATGTATATATATATATATATATATATATATATATATATATTTTACATAGAAAAATAGATATTAACGAGAGAGATAAGCAAATGATTTATATACATATAGACAGATAGATATTGACACTCACATAGATAGATAGATAGATAGATAGATAGATAGATAGATAGATAGATAGATAGATAGAAATACAGAAATAAATAGTTTGATTGATGCCTAGTTTAAATAGATGTGTCTCATGACTCTGTGGAAAAGGCGAGCAAACGACGCAAATGCCAGAAAAGCCTGAGGGTAATTAACTGATGTGAATTACATTCCCTAACCAATGAACCCTGAATTAGAACAATATGACTTCGGGAATTGAATCAAGTGTTTGGTTTAAAATTTTCAGAAGGTTACCAAGTACAACACAGTAAGGAGTCCGGATGTTACACCCGCCGTAGTTAGTAGCGCAGGTTTTCCCTTGCCTTTTCTAAAGATTCCATTTTTTTTTTCAGAACTAAGGCAATATATTAAATAGGTATTCTCGTGGAAGAAAATATCGTTGTGTTTTGAAATGTTAAATGTAAGAACGATCTATCTATCTATCTATCTATCTATCTATCTATCTATCTATATATATATATATATATATATATATATGTGTGTGTGTGTGTGTACGTGTGTACGTGTGTAGCTGTTCTACTAGACGAAAAATACCCTCCAAGGCCATATCAGCTTTAAGAACACAGGGGACATTGGGCGTCTTCCAATTCTCGTTTACCGTTTCCAAGGTAAATCCTCTGGTACACATGATATTTTGAAAATTATGTAGACTCTGTCACACGCTTGAATGCCTCTCTTCTATATACAGGCCTATTTGGAGGTTTTTCTCTTTATTATTCTGCAAAGAACATATTTTCTCACAACTTTTCCTTATTTATTCAAACATTTTATTTTCTGAAAAAAATATTCTATGTGATTTCAGATAGAATAGTTTCTTTTAAATTTGAGGATGGCCTCTCTCTCCCTCCTTCCTTCCTCTCTCTTTTTCTATATATATATATATATATATATATATATATATATATATATATATATATATATATATAAAAGGAAGAGGTTATAGTAGTTAATTACGAGAGAAAAACTGTCTATTAAAAGAAGAAACTGCAAACAACAAAATATTAAAAAAAATTATATGCTTTATTTTCCATAATTTTGCTGCACGTGTTTCTGATCTCGTTACCGTCATCAGGCAAAGCGTTAGAAGATTTCCATATTATTCCAAATAATTTTTTTTTTCTTTATGTTTTTTCGATGTTAAATATTCTCGATATGAGACATTTTCTTTTTTTTAAAATTAGTGTCAAACGTCTTTCTTGAACTGGCAAGGGAAAGTTATATATATATATATATATATATATATATATATATATATATATATATATAGATAGATAGATAAATAGATAGATAGATAGATAAATTGAACAGAATTGAATTGCTGTTGAATTGAATAGCACGTAAAAGACAAATCAATAAAAAAATCAGTTGCTCTGCCTCGAATCTTCCTGCAACGAACGTTATATCGAATTGGCAGATTCGATGATCATGATGTTTATCAAATGCATTGTCTCAGTTTTAGAGGCGGTATCTCGTTGCCGTTTTTGATGCCTTTCCATATCAAGTTTGTAATATGTTATCCGAAATAACTGTATGTCATTTTACACACAATCAAACTTCCCACATTCCAAAGATGGGAGTCTTTTTTTTTTTTTTTTTTTTTTTTTTTTTCTTTTTTAAAGTTTTTCAGGTTAATAATTTTTAAGTTTATAATAATACTTACACTGATAATGAGATAAAAAAAAGAAAAGAAATGTTGACATATGTGTTTTCTTTTTGGAATTAACAGTTTTCTGTGGCAAGCCATATCTTCCATCCATCTAAAATAGGCTGTATATCTGACCTGTCATAAACGTCCGTTGTTCTGCATTAATGCGGGTATAACGCATGAAAAGTTGAAACGCATTTAAAGACTCCTTCATCATTCTAATGAAAACTGTCGCAAGAGAGCCCCCATAAACAAATAATAAACGCAACATCAAAAGTCGGCCCAGAGAATCAATTTCAAGAAATAGGATTGTTTGTCCTCCCCTCCTAATCATTTTACTTTGATTGCTCTCCCCTTCTGCATCTGTCTATATTTCTGAGATGAGGTATTATGTACACTATTTACATTATTAGGACTATTGTCCTCATGTTTAATGCCATATTTATCGCAACGTTTCAGTTGTTGCTATGTTTCCGGTCTTTTTCAGATGGTTAGAATGTCATTTTTTGAACCCTTTATTTATTTTGTTGGTAGACTGTTTCTAGTTCCATGCTATGTTTAATAACATCCATTAAACATAGCATTGTGGAACCAGAACAGTCTACACCAGTGAGCGAAATAAAGGGTTCAGTTGACATTCCAACCACCTGAAGAAGGCTCAAAATGTTGTAATAAATATGGTTACAAAGATGAGAACAATAGTCCGAATAATGTTAATATATATATCTAGATATATAAATCTATATATATATATATATATATATATATATATATATATATATATATTGCTTAATATATATATATATATATATATATATATATATAAATATAAAAATAGTATACTGTATATATGTATGTCTGTGTGAGAGTGTCATCCCAAAACAAACAGAGAGGAGAATTTCCCCCCTCCCAAACTTAATCAAACGCAGACAAACATAAATGGATTCAATTTTTAAAAAGTAAATCAGTTTGCCTGATGATCACAAAAGCGTGAATCCCAGGGTCACAAAATCATATCCACACGACTAAATATATGTGTGTGTATTTCGTTACGGATGACTGAATAGCTATTGCGATTAAACTATTTGTTAATTTTTTCTTGCGTGGTTACAAGTGTTTTCTTATCTGGACACAAAGTGTATAAAAAGCTGTTCCCCAAAACTGCAACAATGTTCTGGCCGTATACGGATAAATCCAGCTCTTGTCTCACCCACAACTATAAACAGCAGGACACACGCGCACAGATTGCATGTGCTCGCGTGTACGCACACGCACACACACAGGCAGTAACAGCAAAAATTGTCCAATTGTTAGATTCAGCTCTGAACCGTTGTATCTTAGAAAGGATCAAAGATATCTTACTGAAATTCTCTAACGTTTTTATATCACGATTGGTCTTTACTTTGAACAATAAGCATGTATAATTACTGTCTAACCTTAACAGAAGGAGACTGATGAATCGATCATAAACGAAACTGACGTGTTAATCTTTATTTTATCATAGCTGAGAATCGGAAGAATTGAAATATATATATATATATATATATATATATATATATATATATATATATATATATATATATATATATATATATTTTTGAATAAAAAACAGATCACGTTAAGATTCCATGTAATAAGCTATTTCACCATAAAAAGCTTATTACATGGAATCTTAACGTGGTCTGTCTTTTTATTCAAACATATCTGCTCTGAATTTTACATTGAGCTCTCTGGATATCATCCTCCTCAGGTCTACCCATACGGATTACCTAAATTTGCACTAAATATATATATATATATATATATATATATATATATATATATATATTTCTGATTATAGGCAGTTCAATTTTTAATTACATGAATTATTCGGGCAAAAAAACAAATATAGAGGTTTATGATTTAAATTCGAAAATATGAGAATACATTCCCGAACATTTCAATAAGGTACACTAACCCCGAACATGTATATGAATGATATGACCCCTGTTTATGTTTCGGGGTTAGTGTATCTTATTGAAACCTCTATATTTGTTTTTGTATGAATGATTCATGTAATTATATATATATATATTATAGATAAAATATTTAAGTAAATGTTCTGTTTATAATAAACAGACATTTTCCGGCCTGAATGTCCGATAAAGTCACAGAAAATATTCTCCCTCCGGCAGGATTCGAACCTGTATCCTATACGGAACCGTCATTTGGCTTGACATGCCTTTAACCGATTTGGCCGCAGAGTCTATTTTACTGTCTTTAAACTACAATCTTCCATGATTCCCTCACGTACATTCCTGCTCATGGCGTATTCAAATGTAAACAAATGACGCCACACATGATGAAATGGACAAAGTCCGACAATTATTTTATACATTTTTTTTAATGTTTATACATTCTTTTTATAGATACAAATATTTAAGTAAATACTCTGTTTTATAATAAACAGTATTAAACAATATTTACCGACCTGAATGTCTGAGAAATTTTCACGGAGGACGAATATTTTCTGTGAAAAATTCTCGGACATTCAGGCCGGTAAATGTTGTTTAATACTGTTTATTATAAACATAGCACTTACTTAAATATTTGTATGTATAAACATAAAATGTTTTATATATATATATATATATATATATATATATATATATATATATATATTATTATTATTTTTTTTTTTTATCGGTTCATTTTCAAACTTCTTCAAGATGATCTTGGTCCTCTTTGTCTAATTTTCAGTCCTAGCGTAGCAAGATGCCTTACAGGTCTCCCGGACGATTTCATTTTCAAGCATGTTTGTACTACCCTTTGGGCTGTCATAGTTGCAACTCTTCTCTCACGTGCAAAATATCATGTATTGAGTTGGATCTCTTTTAATTGATCTCTTTAGTTTTATGTTGAAATGATGATCCCACTTCCTGTTGTGACCATTTCATCCAAAATTCGTCTCTACTGTACCCTCTTTTTTTAGACTTAATCACCGTTCCCTTGATAGTTTTTGAATGGCCATTGAAGATGGAAGCCAAAGTATGGAGGTCGGTATCATTACTGAAGACCTGAATGATCTTTTTCCTCACATCATTGCTCAGTTGGTAAGACAGTGGGCCTGACA